ACAGCCAGATAAGACATGGACTCTGCCCTCAAGTTGCTAACGGTCTAGTAGACATTAAGAAATCCCTGGAAAGCATTATGCAGAATTTCTTACGGAATGTTAATACCTTTCCTAATTCTGTAACTCTTTTACCCAAAGATGTAGCTTTTCTCTTGTTCATGGTGTAGTTATTAGAAGTCCCATAAGACACCATACCTTTTCTCTCTGTGAAAATGCAAGATAATATCAAATGCAACAAAATTTAGTTCACAAATACTGAGGATCTGCTATCTGCAAGGCACTGTGCTAGACACATAGGGATATGAAAATTGAATAATTGAAGCATAGAGCATATTTTCTTTTTAATATGTCAGAGCAATATTGGTTCATAGCTTTTAAACTTTGTAATGAATTATTTTTAATGTCCTTAAAGGGGGGGGGGCTTTTGAAATAGAAGACAAAAATACCTCTGTACTCAAATCCAGACTTTGTAGCCTAGGATTCAAGGTCTCCATTCAAATCCTCTCTTGTAACCCATCTCTCTCTTGAGCTTTCTTTTGCCTTGACCTCAGCTGAGCCAGCCTGCTTGCCAGTCCCTGCACACAACTAACTCTTGCTTCTGTGCCTCTGCGTGACTTATTTTTCTGCTCTGGGATGCCTTTCTGCCCGTGAATCCATGTCCATCATTGCCATACAGTCTGACCCAAGCCCACCTAGTGCAAGGAGCCTGTGGTTGGCGTTCCGTCTCCTGTGTCCCTCCCACATGTGCATAGCCCATGTGACTGGTGAAGGAACATTTCTGTGATGTTCATTAAAGCTTCCCATTCTCTGTCCACATCTTGCTGATCAATACAACAGATTGTAAATGAAACAGTCCAGTATAACCAGGTCATTTACCAAGGCTTTTAGGAGTGAGTCTCTATTTCAAAGATTTCATTTTGGTATTTGTGGGCTGCTAATTGTAGGACAGAGAGGAAGAAGATTAGAAAAGTTAGGATGAGGGTATGAGAAACAAGCCTGGGGTCCATAAGGAAAAACAGTCATACAGCTGTAAATGACCCTCTCCTGCTACTCCCAAACAGGACAAGAAACCTCCTTTAAACCAATTTTGAATCCAATAAGGGTGTATTGACAAACTGTCAAGCTTAAGGAAAGCAGGGCTCTGCCTGTTAATCATCTCAAGCTTGTTGATCTGCTGTTCTGTAATTCTTTCAATATTGTTTAATGTGTGTGTGTTTTATCTTCTGAACTGACTAAAAGCTTCTTGAGGACAGGGACCATGTCTTTTATTTGCTTCTGGCATATTCTTACCCCATTTGTTCCTAAATAGCATGTTCTATAAGTACGTAAGGAACAGGAACTGCAGCTTGTGCGTTCCAACTACATTCCACCCTAATATTACACTACACACTTTATATGTATAATAGACTTTTGCCCTCATGACAGCTTAGTGAGGTAGGTATTCCTATCCTAATTCTACAGATGAGGAAACTGAAATTCAGAGAATTTAAGGTCTTACGGCTGGTGAGTGGTGGAGCCAGAATTAGAACTCAGGTCTGTCTGACTCCAAAACCTGTTAGGTGCTTTTCACTATATCACAGTAACAACAACAAATATTTAGGAGTCCTTTAAAGTACACAGAACTCTTTGATCTACATTATCATTAATGCTACTACTGCTACTGTTACTATTACTCCTTACATCATCACCAAGAAGTAGGTAGAGCTAGTATTATCGTGACCCCCATTTCACAGATAGGGAAACTGAGACTCAGAGACTTGCCCAAGATCACACAGCTGGTAAGTGGAAGAATCAGGACTTCAAACAGACTTCCTGACTCTAGATCTTTTTGTTCTTTCCATATCACATTGCTGCCTTAATTCATTTGCACGAATGCATGATTATGTGGCCAGTTTTCACTGACACCTTTCCTACAGAAATGTCAATAAGCCCAGGCATTGCATGGAGCCATGTGGAAAAGAAAATAATTCATACCTCCAGAGGAGCTTCCATTTTAATGGAGGGGTGATAGAAAGCACCCAAAAAAATGCTTGAAAAGAATAGTTCATAAGTGAGAATTAAAATATGGGGCCCTTTGTTCAGTAAACAAAATCCCATAATTTGGCTTAAAACTAATAGAATATTTTAAATTATTTCCATAGTAAAATTGGATTAGGGAATAGGGATGAAGCCAGTAGACTTATTTGAAAATATTCCTTTTAGAGTTAAATGAGAAAGCTCCAGGTACTTCATACAAGCTGGTAGCTAGCCCCAGAACCATCCCGTTATCAAAGAGAAGCAGCAGTGTCAGTCTCAGGGGTGATGGTCTATGCAGCCAGTACTTCGTCACTTTCATTAGTAGGATCCCTCTGGTCCCATCTGCCAGTCCTCCTCCTCCCTGCTCTGCAGCCACTACCCCACCTCACTACGCCCCTTTAGACTCTGAACTTTCTTATCCTTCAGTGTTTCATTCCCAGTAGGTTGTCCCCCTTCTCCTTTTGCATCAGCTACTATACGTTGCATCCAGTGTCACAAAGTCCTTCAGCACAACCAGAACTAGGAAAATGTGTATTATAAAATATAGATATGGAATGCGTATCAGCACTAGAGAGTTGTTTTCATGGAAACATTGTTTCTAGCTCTCCGCTGAACACTTCTGCCTGGTTGTCATGCACCTCAAGCTCTTCATGTCCTGAAAAATACCAGCATCTCCCCACCAAATCCACTCCATCTCCTGTGTCCTAGCCCCAGTGAATAGTGTCACCATCTACTTGGTCATCTGAGCTGGAGACACAGGGGTACTCTACTCCTTATTCTCCTTCACCAGCCCCTTGCCCTTCCAGTGGGTCATCAGCTCTACCTCATAAATGTTGCCTTTTCTTCCCACAACCTCAGCCTTAATCCGGCTCTGTCTCCTCTCGCACACACCATCCTGATGACCTCCTAATGACTTATCTCTCTACCACCAGTTCCAGTGTGTCTGTCACACTGCTGCCAGAGGTACTGTCTTACGAAACAAACCTAACTGGACACACCTTACAGGGTAAAGTCTAAGCTCCTTGCTTCGGCATTTAAGACACGACTGTTGGATCCTAAGTGACCCTCGCAGCCTTACCTCCTCTCACTCCCAAACACAGGGCCCTTTCCCAGTTTCATGAGAGCAGATATAGAAAAGATAAACTGGCACAATCCAGAAAGGTCTGCACAATCACACAGGTCAGTGGGAGCATACAAAGCTCCTCACAGTCTCCTCGGCTTGGAATGCTTTGTGCCCTCTGCCCGGTGCAGGACCCTCATTGACCCTCTCCGGTGCTGCCTTCCCCGGGCAGTTAGGGCAGTGCTTCATCTCAGGAGCTGCCATAGTTCTTTGTTCATAATTCTCTAATGGCATTTACCCCTTTACGTTCCAAGTTACTTTTTTATGTATTTGTTTCACCTGCTCAAGGGCGGCAGCTATACCCAGTGTTCCTTTTCTTCCCAGTTCCTGTCACGTAGTTTCTAAGCAGATGTTGAACAGATGAACTCACAGTGCTCCTCCAGTGCAGTCAGGGCAGTCAATCTAGATGTGGTGTGCTGCAAAGAGTACTGGACGGGGATTCAGGAGACCCATGTCCTAAGTCCAACTCTGCTACTAGATAAGTGACCTTGGGTAAGTCACTCAGTCTCCTTTATTAAGGAAGGGGGTTGGACTAAATGATCTCTAAGGCCCCTTCCAACTTCACGTTCTATGATTCTGACCCCATTTCTCAGATCAGGAAACACATTTCCTCCTTTGTAACATTCAGGAGCCTCAACTTAGCCTGGCAGCCATCCACGTTTCCCGAGTAGATTTTTCAAACTCTTGGAAGTAGTCTTCTGGTGCTAGCCAGGGCTGCTTAATTAGGCTTCTGTTGGCTTATCCGGTGATCATTGAGCTGTTCTCACCCCTCCCCAGGAGGCTTCACTGTGTCTATACCACCATCACACTGTTGTGTGGCTGCCCCCTCCCAGGAAGATCATCTTTGTGTTGACCTACGGGACAACTGCAAGGGGCCAGTCATTTCCCTTTAATCCAAATCCCACCAACATTATAGCTGCTGCCATGTGGGTTCTTGGTTATAGACAGGTTTTAAGGGGGTGATGCCCATTTCTGTGAGAAATAACTTTTAAGCAGTTCATGGGAAGGCCACTCTTAAGTACACTGCTGACCTTTTAGGGGTGGGAGGATTGAAGTTAGCAACTCAACAGGTATATTTGCCATAATCTCCATGTAATAAATACGAGCCTATGAAAAGATTAAATAAATCTTTCCTAATGCTTTTTGATTGGCTTAATCAATAATTAATCATCTTTAGATGAGGCTGTAACTTGTGGAGTAGATATAATTGGATTAGCTGAAAAGCAGCAGTTGGGGAGCTTTGAAGAGATTAAAATGGCTGTCAATCCCATAATTAAACTGCCACAAACAAAAGCAATGGTGTTTTTAAAAAAAAAAAAAAATGTAAAGAAGGAAAGAGAGAAAGAAGGAAAGAAAAGTCAGGGAGAAAGCTGGGGAAGGCCAACTAATTTGAAATTAATCAACAAGTACTAGAGATTGTGGAGGCAGAATCTAATCTAATGGATTTATTCCTTTGAGTGAAATGTATACATATCAAATCAGCCGCTTAATTGTATACCTCAGCCATTGGGGCAGGTGAAGTTTTGGCAGCTTCAACTTCACAAAAATAAAACAAATCCAAAAAAGGAGGAAAAGTTAATTATTTAAAACAGAAGAGACCTGCTCCTTGTCCTGAGCCCATTTAGACCTTGACTTTTCATACTTTTAATTGGCTCAGTAGGTTTGGCCTGTGTGAATGAAGTCTTTTATCTCCCTCTTTTTCTTTCCATGCCCCTTTCATCTTTCCTATTACAAACACACAGAGAGCTTGAGGGAAAATACTTTGGTTTTTAAAGACTTTTCTTTTTAGTGGATTTGGGTGGAGGGAGGGGTATGTGTGTGATGCTGGTGAATACTTTTTTTCTTTCTCTTTTATCTTTTCCAGAGAGGAGTTGCTTAAACCAATGGGACTAAAACCTGATGGGACAATAACACCTTTGGAGGAAGCACTCAACCAGTACTCTGTCATCGAAGAGACCAGCTCTGACACAGACTAAAAGCATCACCTGCTCAACTCTCAATATTGCTTTTATCAGCATCTTTTCTCTGTAGCTCCAGGGGAATCTATTCTCTAAAACATTTATGCCCTTGCTTTGGCTAGAAAACACATTAACTGGTTTGCTCATTGAGAATCCAGCATATTTAAGAGGTGATCCTGTGTTGTTTTTTTTTTTTTGCGATATTGAGGCATTCATACAGAGCTGCAGTTAGATGGAGTTACAGGGGCTAGAAGCAGAAAAAAAATCCATTTCATCAGGATGGAACTGAAGGATTTTATTCTATAAAGCAGCCCTGGTTGGATCTGGCAATTGTGTTTGCCAAGATTCTTAGCAGAAGATTTAGCCATGTCCTTCCTCACTTGTGTGAGCTGCCCCTTCTGAATCTCTCCAGCAGCCAGAGGCACATGAGAAGCAGAGTGAGCTGGCAAAGGCTGAGGCAAGTTTCTCCTTAGATCAGGACTAAGTGGAAGCCAAGCAGCTGCTCCATGAACCAAGCCCCACTCTTCGTATCAATTTTGTATAAATATATAGAAACACACACACAGCCCCAGACTTACAAACTGATGATACTCTAAAGTTTTTATGTCAGTTATCTAAAACTTCAGAATACGTTTCTCCCTATAAAGAATTATAAATGATGGTTTAGTTCCCAGGCAGCTACAAATGCCTATTTATTCCCTAATGTACCTGAACACTAGTACCATAGAACTGAACCACCATCTGTATCAGTGTATGGGGAGCATGCATTCTGAGGTTTAACCCAGGGTGCCAGGAACACACACATCCTCCATCCCAGCAGAGAGAATGGGACTCCGTGAGTAGTGGAAGTTCCTTTGTGGCCGCTGCTGGGCATGGGGGAGTCAGCAGCACCCATTTGTACATAGAGGTCATTCATACGTCACGTTTTAAATTGGGGACTGTGTGTGTGCTGGTGTGTGTGTATGTTCTACCTTTCTACCATATGTGATCAGTTTAATAGTAACAACTTTATTTATTTAAAAAAAGGAAAAGAAACACAAATAGTTACTGTTAAACTGATTAAGGTGTTTATTTTTACTTTTAGAATTGGTCCTATGAAGTAGAAACTGAATCATGCAGTAGACAGTGGGCCTAGTTGATCAGTGGCTAAAGTTAAAAAGGGGTTGGTTTCCTTTATATGTATGTATGTATGTGTGTGTATATATGCATACATATATATACATATATACATAATGTGCTTAACCACTGCCTTTTAAAACTTTAAATAAAACATTGGGGTTGATTCAATTTAGCCATCTGTGTGTGTTTCTTTATAGTTACATGGGCTAAACAATTCTATTTCACAGTTTATGCTTTTTTAAAGTGCTTTTACATCCATAATCTCACTTCTCATCACAATAGCCTTTTCAAGGATAGGTGAAGTATGGAGTATTAGTGAAAATGTCATTTATCCAGAAGTTACTTCTCTGGCAAAGCAACAAATCAGGAATAGAGTTTTAAAAGGCCTTTAAGCTGCCGTAAAGATGTCAAAGTTTCTTGCGATTTACTCAATGGAGAGATCGTCAAGAATATCATCACTATTAGCCTCTGTACTAAAATTTACATACATTTCTAACATGTTTAGTTATCTGGCTTTTAAGCTCACAAAACAATGGCAAAGAAGGATGCTGCTAGATTGAAGGCAAGCATACAGAAAACAGCAAAAAAGCTAACTGAAAACTAGATAGCAAGATGGGAAGAATAAAAAAAAACTATTTAAGGCCTAGCAAATCTGGGACTATCTATTTACCAAAGGATACTCTAGTTGACCTAGAAAATGTGTGTATAGCAGTGTGGTCCATAGACTAATTCTCATAATGATGACCCTGCATTTCTTTAAGAATAGATCCAGAATACTTTTTCAAAGGCTAGGAAGAATACAGTTCATTTCAGAATTTTCATCCAAACTGGTTGAAGGAGATGTTGTGGGTGACCCGTGTTTTAACCAACAACAAATAAAATGAAACTTGGCAATTCATAACTTTAGACTAAGTGAAAAAAGTTTAGAAAAAAGAATTTAAGTATTTTTGTTATATCATTCTACAAATGCATTTTTGAAGTATTTTTATAATTTCTACAATCAGATAGCTTTGGCATGAGTGTCGGCTTACCTAAATGAAGACATGTTTTATGAAATACCCATCTTACCAGCTTTATGCAGAGTTAAGTGTTTGAACAGTCCTGTTTAAGTAGCTGTGCTCTTCTGCTTTCAATGAGTTCTGTTTCATTTTGTGTTTCTCTGCACTGAGCACTAAGCTTTGTTGTTGAAGAGAGATTTGTGGGGGGAGAAGATGAGAGTGACCTCATCTCTCTTTTACATGGGAAGAGAACGAACATCTGTTGAGTGCTTACTATGTGCTCGGCTTTTTATTTATGTTATCTCATGGAACCTCACCATATCTTACGTGGGAGATCCTCTCCAGAAAGCTACATAAGTTACCCTGCGTCGCAGCAAGGAAGAGTCCGACTCTGGTGGCCGACTCCCCGCACCACTCCTCCCCCTCCCCTTCTGCACACCTGGGCCCACACTGTGCCTCCTTAGGACTCTGCAATGCTGGGAACAGAATGGGGTGGGGAGGGTGGTCATCCTCAGGCCATTTTAAGCAATAACTACATCAGCAGAACCAGTTTAAAGACCTTTTTAAGCAGGGAAGTGATTTGGAGTGGAAGTGTGAGTGGGAAACATGCTCAGTTGGCACTAGATTTCAGATGAACACCTGAAATCCTTTAGGATAGGACAGAGACCAAGCCTGCAGGGTGGCCCCTGTACCCACAACCCTCCTGACTGTAGAAGCAGAGTACAGAGGAGTGGGGCCTTAAAATAAGGCATTTGAGCTGCCACTGTAAAGGAAGAATCGCCAGACATTTGTGACCCTTTCAGCTGCTCAGTGGTCCTGGGAGGCGGGCGGGGCAGGTGTTACTATCCCTCCTTTGTAAATGGGGACACAGGCTGAGGCAATACAGATGACTATAAACACACCCTCAGAGCCACATCAGTCTTGCCACCTCTTAGGACTAGGTGTCACCTGTATTGACTTCCTTTTTCCCTGATTATAAAAGTAATATATATGTTAATTGTGGAAAGTTTGGAAAATGCAGAAAATAATAAAATTAATAATTTACCCAAAATCCCACCATCCTGAGATAATCACTGTTAATGTTTTAGTGTATTTCCTTCCTGTATTTTTTCTATGCATATATAATTTATTTTACTACAAGATTGGGATCATGCTGTATTTACAGATTTGTATCCTGCTTTCTTCTTTAACATTGTGAGCATTTTCCCATGTCAATAAATATTCTTCAAAAATTAATGGCTATATGATATTCCATTCTATGAATCGTGGCAAACACTGCTAATTGCCTACCTAATATTCTTCCCAACAGAAGTAGTCATGACCTATACCCCGTCCATCAAAGAGAAAGGTGCCTGTTCCTTTCTGGAAGGCAGCATGAGCACTGTTGGCACTGAAGAGCTACAAGAACTAGGAATGGCACCAGGAGCAGGCTCGCTCTGCCTCCGGCACCAGCCTTCCAGAAGCCTCGGCAGTACAAATCATAACACAGCTAGATTAAGGGCCCAGATAACTCCGTATTTTGTCAAGGACAGCCATTTGAAGGTAGCGAGGAAGCCGGATGGCTTAGATAAGTCTGCATGTAAAAAAAAAAAAAAAAGCACCAAAAAACTGTCAACCACATTTAGTGTATAGACCAGTTATTGGTGTTAATTTTCTTAAGAGATATTCACTGCAGTTCCAGAGGTGGAGGGGGTTGCATGAGGATGGGGAGTGGTGTGTTACTCTTTCAGGAAAGGCAAGGCAACAGCTGTGAGAACTATTGCATATATCATGGGCACAATGTGGAAAACAAATGAACAGTGCTGGCTGGCTGGGCATAGCTGCTCACGCCTGTAATCCCAGCACTTTGGGAGGCAGAGGCAGGAAGATCACTTGAGCCCAGGAGTTTGAGACCAGCCTGGACAACACAGCAAGACCTGTCTCTACCAAAAAAATAATAATAATAATTACCTAGGCATGGTGGTGCCTGCCTGTAGTCTCAGCTACTTGGCAGGCTGAGGCTGGAGGATCACTTGAGCCCAGGAGTTTGAGGCTGCAGTGAACTATGATCACGCCACTGTACTCGAGCCTGGGTGAGAGCAAGACCTTGTCCCCCAAAAATAATAAAGAAAAATGAATAGTGCTCTAGAAACAAATCATGGGTAAGGGAGGGAGAGACCTGTAACAACTGTAAGAAGATTCAAGAGAAGGGTGGGGGTTCTAGAGAGGACTTAAAGAGGCATGACTTGATGCACTGTGCCGAGCCCCACACCAGGTCTTTGAGGAACATCAGAGCAGCTTTCCTGCAGAGGAGGGGCTGGGAGGTAACAAAGCCTCCAGACCCCACGCCATGCATTGTAGACAAGTAACACACTCTCCCATGCATCTAGGGACAGTGCTAGTCATACAGCATCCTCGTGAGAACTGAGAAAATAGTCACTCCAGTCACTTTTCTGAGTTCTGTCGTTCAGATGAACCCTGACTGAGAAAAGCTGTTCTAGAGAAAAGCTCTCTAAGGCTTCTGGAGTCAGGTGTGTGTTTTCTTTCAATGCAACACGGAGATGAACCTAAGCCAGGTTTCACAGGCCTCTATCTTTTCTGCACTGAATTTAATGGCTGCCAACATTTGCTGAACAACCATCGTGCTAAGCACTTCACATGCACATTCTAATTTAATCTTCATAATCCTATAAGAAATAGTATAATAGCTTCCACTTTTCAGATAAGAAAACTGAAACATAAAGACACTAAGTACTGTGTGCAAGGCACACAGCCTTCTTCATTCGATTATTTGCTGCACCTGGCAAAATTTGAACTCAAGCCTGTCTGATGCTAGAATCTATGTAAATAATGTGTATGTATTGCTTTTGCAATCAGAAAAATAAAGTCTTATTTGGAATAAAAGAATGTCAGAAGAGACCAAAGTGGAAAAAAGAATTGGGAAAATAACTCATTTTTCTCACTTCATTTCCATATCTCTACTATGCATAGAATCCCATTCAAGAGCTAGTCTCAAAGAGAAGCCCATGCAAGCACACCAACCCACGCCAATGTATTGGCCATCAACTACGTGCCAGGTACTGGTCGAGGTGCTTGGGGACAGAACATGACTGAACATTCCTATCCCCGCAGTGCCCGCGGTGTGAGAAGTCCATAACCCAAGCTTGTACTGTTACAGGATGCTGGTGTGGCTGACACTAGCCAGGAGGGCTGGGGTGGGGGGTGGTGAATAACCAAGTTTTGTAGATAACATGAGCTTGCCATGTACAGGAGAAAGGTTGTTCCTGCCAGAAGACTGGCTCCAACACAAGCTCGTGGGCAAAAGGTACATGATGTATACAGAGAACACAAGGAGGGTGAGTATGAAGGAAATGAAGGTACCCCATGCCTCATGATTGAGCACACGAGTAGCAGCATTTCAGGCAAGCGAAGGACAACCAGAAGGATCACTCTGGCTGCATCACAGAGAACAGACTGGGGAAGAGGCAGGCAGACAGACAAGAGCAGACAGAAGGCTGCTGCCCCAGTCCGTGCGAGGGAAGGCCGGCACTGAGAGGGTGCTGGCCATGGGCACAGGCAAGGGACTCGAGAAACACTTAAAAGTTGGAA